TGCCTACCTACAAGGTCTATCTCTCGGTCTAGGGTTCACTCTCTGTCTAGGTATCTCCTCATGGTCTGACTCATCGTCATCGACCCTAACCCTAGCTCTATGACCTCTCGTTCGCGGTCTCTCGTCATAGTCCGACTCCTCGTCGTATATGACTCTCTCACGTGGTCTAGGTCGGTCGTTAGGTCTTTGTCTATGGTTGTCCGGGCGCTCGGGGTTTCTCTCATCCTTCCTATCTCGGGCTCGGACTCTAGGAGCGATATCACTCTCATCTTCACTAAGAGTTTCGGGTGAGGGCAGTGGCCGAGGTCTAGGTTGATTTACCGGGGCTCGATTTCTAGGTTCCGTCTCTCTAATGGTTTGGGTTTCCGGCCTAGACTCTTCTAACCTAGAAATACGCTCCATCATTTGTTGTAGGCTCGGAAAATCTCTTGGTTGCTAGACGACCCTATCTCCAATCCCTCATTGGAAGCATCGTGAGCACTCATGTTTACAATTCGCTCAAGTCTCGCAATATGCACGTAACGTACTATACACGCAAACGAATCCCAATCAACATGCAAGAGCGTAAATGATAGACGTGGATATCAATGAGCAATCACTCAACGTGCAATGGCTATCAAACAAACAGCGGGATATCAATGAGCAATCACTCAACGTGCAATGGCTATCAAACAAACAGTGAGCGAATACGAAAGTGAGACACACACGGGCAAAGCGAATCAAACACAACGTGCTAAGCAATGAATGTGCGAACTATCGAACGACTAACGGAATGGAACGACAGCAGCAACACGCAACGCACAAGATATTCAAGCACTTAAAACGATCAGCAAACACGTCAAACAATCGTGCAATCGAATAGGTATGATTTTAGAAGATGAACAGTCCACGAACACACAAACAATCGTGAATTACAAGGCTGTAGAATAAGGTCGATCAAGGAGTGATCTCACCGGATTTAGCTGCGTTTTAGTTTTGTGAAACTCGATCAATACTCCTCGGGTACAATCCGGGGAACGTCCTATGGCTCGAGCAAGCCCTGATACCAAAATGATGTATGCACGAGGAGGATGGGGATGGGGGGTTCAACCGCAATCACCGGCTCACGGGCGTGGCTCTCGAATTTGCAGAGGAACAAGGGCAATCGAAGTGGATTTACGGTAAAACGATTCCAATCACCGGCTCACGCAAAGTGGCTCTCGAATTCGGAAATGTTTCAAAGGAATGGAGATGGAAATCAAAGTGGAGGAACCTCGGACGAACCAAGGAATGAGCCGGACCAACCGAGCTCTAAGGGGACCGTCGGACACACCGGATGGCTTCACGGGCGGCGAACACACCGACGCTCGTGGAGGAGGCGGACAAACCAGCCAAGTCTTTGAAAGAGAGAATTCTCAAACAAAAATCAGATTAGATTGATCAAAAGTGCTAGTGATTACAAAGCTTGGGAAGAGTTTAAGTAAACAAAGCATTAAATGCTAGCTTACATGCAAGCCTAGTCTTAATTAAGGACCAAACAACAAAGTATAGTTGTTGGGACATTATATGGGCCGAAATTCTTGAGTAAATAAGGCCCATGGGCTTCACTTGGGCTTTAGGAGATGTCTTCTTCGAGTATAAGTAAGTTCCGGGTCAGATTTCGTCCGAAAAGTGAAATGTCGTCTTTGGACTCCCGGGATCCGCTAAGAATGTGATTGACGGCCTTGGTGAGTGTGACACGAAGCGCTCGAGCTCTAGCACGAGTAAGTGGTGGCTCGGCTCTAGGGTTTGCTCGGGGAGCCTCTGCGTTGTGCACGTCAAATCCCGGTCTCACGGCTTCGAATGACCTTGTGACATTATGATCATCTGGCAAGAGTCTTGACGTCTGATGGGCCAAGTCTTCAACATCTTCTAGAGCTCCTTCCGTTAAGCTCCCGTCTTCGTCCAAGCTGCTAGCTCCGATGTCCTCATCACCCTGCATAAGTTGTGTAAACATAGACTTAAGATCAAGGTCGGAATTTACCTGTGGTGGGGGTGGAGATGGACCGAAATTCTATTGAGGTTGACGGGGTGCTCTGTAGTGTTAAGGGGCTTGGTTCTGTTGCTGGTAGGCATTCCGGGTTTGAGATTGATTTCCTTGAGAGGAGCCCGGGATAGATGAACTGCCGAAATTGTTGTGCTGCGCATTTAGAGCGTTGGAGGAGTTCTTGTATGAGAAATTTGGGTGATTCCTCCAACCCGGATTGTATGTGTTCGAGTACTGATTGTTGGCGACGTAGTTGACATCTTCATGCACGTACTCGTCTCGTGATGCGTCCAGATCGGTGATCTGATGGGCGTTTTCTACCTACATTCTAAGTTTGGCTAGCTCTGTACGTAAAGCATGTATTTCGGATTGACTTTCCTTACCCGCATGGTTGTCCTTAAAACCAATACTTCTGACGAATTCGTAGGAAGGAGCACACACGTTAGCCATCTTAGTGATTTGTTGTTCGATGAAGTCGAAAGACTTCTCATTGAGGCTTCCTCCACAAGCAACTCGAATGAGGACTCGAGTATCTTCCTTTAGACCCTGCAAAAAGGTGGAGATAAGATACCTCTTGTCTAATCCGTGATGAGGGCAAAGCCGTTGGTATCCAAGAAAACGGTCCCAAGTCTCGCGTAAAGATTCATCAGGTTCCTGCATAAAAGAGTTAATCTGTTGCTTTGCGAGCTGGGTCTTGCTAGCGGGGAAGAATCGTTGCATGAACTTCTCTTGCATCTGATCCCAAGAGAAGACGTAATCTGGTGGCAATGTGTAGAGCCATTCTAACACAGCGTCCATTAGGGAGAATGGAAAAGCCATTAGCATAAGTGACTCATCTGTGACTCCTTGAACCGTCTTCACAGACTAGCATAGCAGTTTGAATCGGGTCAGATGGGGAATTGGATCTTCATTAGGTCTGCCCCTGAATGCCGGCTGGAATTCAAATTTATTGCGATCTATATCGGGCCGGTGAATGCATGAGAGCTGTTGAGTGTACTTGGGCTGAAGATATGCCCCATAAGTGTCATTGTCATTCTCGACAGCTAAAGCACGTTCCTCCATCTTCTTCTGTTGTTTCTTCTTCTTCCGAATGCGTTTGGCAGATTTCTCGATTTCTGGATCAAGAGGGACTAGGTTGTCAGACCCAGAACTCCTGGTCATACACCGGGAAAACCTACACACCAGAAAAATAGGAAAAAGAACTAGAATAGATCAGGAACGAGATAAAAGTAAATGAGAAGGGATCTAGGTTCAAAGGAATCTCTATCCTAGCGCTAAGCTACTCCCCACCAACGGCGCCAAAAACTTGATAACGCAAATTTAGGTGTATAAATAAGCTCAAGTAATAAAAAATCTAGATATAGCGAATACCGCAAGGATACGGATCAACTGTAGTATCAGGGTCGAACACAGGTAATAGTTAACACTTAAGAACAAGACTCGACTAAAAATCAGATCAAGAAACAGCAGATAAAGTATGTGAATATAAAAAACAAAGTAATAAACCAACTAAGTAAAATCAGAAAACTAAACCACCGTACCTTCGGGATAACCTTAATGCACAGGGATTGTTTCTAAGGATGGAGAATCTATGAATATCGAACTCTAATCGGGGATCTCAAGTTCCAATATCAGATTTGTCTCTTTCAAGTTCGAAATCCACTATCTGATAATTCAACCTATCGATCTTTCAATCTAATAGATTAAATAATCAAACGCATTAATGATCACTATCACAGTTCCTAAATCGATCAATCTATCTTTCAATAGTCTTAAACAATTCATTCAATGAATTTGTTCCGAATCTAATTCCAACTCTCGTTGTAAATCAGAATCTAAGATCAATCAATGAACAAGCCAAGAAGATTAAAAGCAATAAACTCAATTCAATCAAACCGACGAGTATCGATAATGTAGTCTCGGAAAATAAAAACCAAACAAATCCCTACAAAGTTAAATCCCTAGCTACAGTGAAACGATTACTCGCTACCCATAACAACAAACGAGTTCAAATCAATAAAGAGAAACATGGAAAACAAATAGGGAAGAAACTCGCAGCGATCTCTCGACGACGGTTCTTCAATCTCTACTTCTGGAAACTCCGTCTTGATTCTCTCTCGAGTTTTCTGGCTTTTGCTGTGATCTATCGATGATTTCTGAAGACCAAGACGTCTCCTATTTATTTCCTTGGCAGCTAGGCTTCTTCCCATTCTGAAAACGGAAGTTCGGATGCAAAAATAGAAAGTTTTTTCGAAACGCAACACGGCCGTGTCGAATGTCAACACGGTCCGTGTCAATTGTCTGATCAAAACTTCTGCGCTTCTGCACGGGCTGGACACGGACGAGTTGCAGGCCGACACGACCGTGTTGCGAATTGACACGGTCCGTGTCAATTGTCTGTAAGAATGTCTTCGTTTTCTCGCATATGCACGGCCGTGTTTGAGCTCGACATGGCCGTGTTCATGTCCAACTCGGGCTGGATATGTCTTTATCGTTCCTTTCCGGTCCAATATGCTCCGAAGTCCTCGATTATGTTCCTCTGGCGCTCATAATGCGTCTATTACTTGTTCAATCACCAGAGAATGAAGAGGAAACAAAACCCAATACTAAAATGATCCTAAATGTCTAATAATATCACAAAACCAATGCAAAAGTGCTAGATAATAGATTTTAAAATAGAGGAGAAAATCGTATTATCATGTATCATTCCACGACAATTAAAATAAAAATAAATTAAGTTTAATATCAACATCCGAAAAATTTTACTCATAAATTCGAGATCCAAACAATAAAATAACCAATACAAGAAAACATTTATACTTCTTCAAAAGATTATTAATGGGATTCAATAAAGATAGAAAAAATAGCTTGTACACTTGAAAATGCAAATTCTCATATACACGCAGGCAAACTATACACAGACGTACAAATTGGGCTTTTAAATAACAAACCCATAACAATATAATATACATAAATGCACATGTCGGTCTATCTCATACACACATTTATCAAGTATCACCCCCACCACCATCATCACTTTCTCACCACCTTTAGAGAGAGAGAGAGCTTCCAGTGGCAAAACCGTAAATACAAGGATGTCGAAAGACTGCGGAAACCATGGCCTAGACAATGAAGCCAAGCTCCGGCGAATCTGCGGCGGCATCGTCTTCCTCGTAGTGATATTGGGTTTCACCGTTCTTCTGGTTTGGGCAATCCTTCGTCCCACCAAACCAAGATTCATCCTCCAAGACGTCACTGTTTTCGCTTTCAACGTCTCTTCGCCGAATCTTCTCACCACCAACTTCCAAATCACAGCTGCAGCTCGGAACCCTAATTCCAAGATCGGAATCTACTACGATCGCCTTCATGTCTACGCCACTTACCGGAACCAGCAGATCACTCTCCGGACAGCTATTCCTCCGACGTATCAGGTAAGAGAACAAGGAATAGAAAGCTAAGTCTCATGGATCTATGGTTTTTCTACCCATGTTTTTTTTTTTATATTATTTAGATATATGAATACTGCTCAAGTGAATATTAGGCGGTGTGGTCTTTATCCGGTCAGTGTTTTAGGGTTGATTGTTAGATATCAAGATGATTTTGATGGTTTTTTGGTAGATTTTAAAAGGATTTGTGTATATTTTCTCTTGAATCGTTTAAAATAAATGGGAATTATTGGATTTGGGGTCTTTTTTTCACTAGAATATTTCAGTGGGATTTTCTGAAATCAACACAATTACGTTTTTTAGTAAAAGTCCATTTTAAAGCGTTTTAAAAAATTAACCAAATAAAATAGAACTTTGAACTAATTGAAAATTACTAATTCAATTAATCTCCAACAACATAGTTTTTTCAAAATCGAAATTTCGGATTCAATATGTACAAAAAATGGAAATTCTAATATATATATATATATTGCAGGGACACAAGGAAGACGACGTATGGTCCCCGTTCGTGTACGGAACCTCGGTCCCCATCGCTCCGTACAACGCCGTAGCTCTCTCCGACGAACAGAGCCGAGGGTTCGTCATGTTGACCGTACGCGCCGACGGGCGCGTGAGATGGAAGGTCGGAACTTTTATCACAGGGAGGTACCATATCCATGTACGTTGCCCTGCTTACATCAATCTATGGAACAAAGCGGCGGGAACTGCTGTCGGTGATAACGCCGTTAAGTACACGTTGGTTACTAAGTGCAGTGTCAACGTTTGATGATTGGGCTGACCGCGACGGAGACATTGACAGCGTTAAGACGGCGTTGCTTTCCGTTTGCGTAATGGGTTTCTCTTCTTTTGTTTCCATATGCAAAAAGTTGGATCCTTGATTATTATTTTTAATTTCTGGTTAATTATATAGTTGCTATGATACCGTTATTATGATTATGTGGTTTGGTTTTTTTTACTTGTAAATGCCAATTATAGTGAAAATAAAATGGCAGATTAATTGTTTATACATTGTTTGGTTTCATTATTTTTAATTATACACATATGGCTATTTCTACATAATAACTAATTATTTTAAAGAATTGTACTTACCGCCTTTTTGTATAGATATTAAATATAGATACAGAGGTTATTTTCGAAACTCATCAAAATAATATATTTGGAGTAAGGAATAAAAATTAAAAGTTATACTTTTTTTGGTCATCGAATGCAGTGTCAACGTTTGATGATTGAGTTGAGTGCGCCGGAGACATTGGCGGCGTTAAGACGTCGTCGCTTTCCGTTTGTACAATGATTCTCTTCTTCTGTTTTCATATGAAAAAATGGATCTTTGCTAATTGTTTTTAATTTCTGGTTGATTAGGTGGTTCGGTTTATTTACTTGTAAATGCCAATTACAACGGAAATAAAATGGCAGATTAATTGTGTTTAAGTGGATTATTGTTTTTTTTTTTTATAACGGAGGACCCTAGCTGCTACCTTTCGGGTATGCTGACTAGATAAACCTCCGGCCCGTGAGCAGCCTTTGTATATGGATCATATAAACCCAAAAATTACCTCCCTCTCCACCAGCTAGGAATCGAACACTCAACTCAAGGTGAAGTTACCTTCTACCCCCAAGCTTGACCAGTCGCTCATGATCTCTTATTATGTTGTTTTTCAGTGTTTTTGTTATTTGTTATTCATTCTACAAATATTTTTAGAGATGTAAAACGAGCCAATTTGATCCACCTCGATCCAGATTATTCAAATATGAACCGTTACTTTTAAATCTTACACATTTAAATTAATCTCTCATTCGCTCTTTGATCAACATGCGAAATAGTAAAAATCTGACCTAAAAGATTATTTCGACAGGTTCGAAGGAAAATGTTAGGTGTATAATATAAGGAAAAGTATTTGTAATAATAATTTCAATATTCTTATAAATTAGACAAACCGCATATATGATAAATATACTCTTGATATCTTTCGGCCACCAAGGAAAAGTATACTTAAAGGAGAAAAAAAGTAAGATGTCTTAATTATTTGTCAAATAATCAAAGTGTGAAGTGAAACTACTTTACAAATTGTTATTCGTATTCACTTTTTATTCCTATTTTATATTGTAAAATGTATATTTTATTTTTCAATTTGAAGAAGTATTCTTGGATCTATAAAAATAGAGGAAAATAAATGCAGTTAATATTTATTGGTCTTGGGAAGTCTGCCTTAATAATAGTTTCATTATTCAATTAGTATAGTTAGCTTGTGATAGTTGGAATCCAGCAATCACATGAACGGAACCTAATAATAATAATAATAATAATAATAATAATAATAATAAACGAAATATTCTCAATTAGGTACCATCCATATAGTCCACCGACGATCCCACATCAAAATATACCCTCCAAACTCCCTCCAAACTCTGAGAGCATACCCTTCTCACAAAAAATGTCTCTTTCAATCATACTCTCATAAATATATACACAACAATTATCCTTTCTATTTTAATTAATTTCATATATATTTTTTTATCAATTTTTATAATTTTTCTCCTTATTTATTTCTCTCCCAACGACGATTATGTTTATTTTTTGAAATCAATACAAAAAACGTTGAAAATGTTGTAAAATCAGTACAAAATCACATAAAAACTTACAAATAGATAAATTATGATCCAAAATACTTGTATTTATTATGAGTATTGACGATTTTTACAGTTTTTCTTTCTGTATTTTGAGATGTTTACTATGTTTGTTATGTAATTATTGTTTTAAAAAAAATCTCTATGAGATGAGGTATTGTATAGTATAAAACCTTGTCAGATTGTGAATCCAAGAGATTCAAAAATTAATTTTCTCTATTTGAAGTTCTTTATGAAAAAGGTTGGTTCATAGGTGCTCATAACTTGTTTTATGTGAAAAAGAATGAATCCAAGATATTCATTCTTAACACCAAAATTCAAGGTAGCAAACTTGAGTGAAAGAGAGAAAGAGAAGGAAAGTGGATTGACCAAGAGGAATGGAACTTGGGGGAGCAAGGAGGAGTTCGGAGAAGCAAAGGGGGACGTTCGTCCAGAAGCTCTCGTCGACGCAAGGAGGCTCGGGAAGCTCTCCCGAGCAAGTCAAAGTCCACCAAACGTCAATACAATGTGAATGGCTTGTGTTAAACTAATTGGATTCAATTCTCGCCGTTAAATGGTGGAAATTACTGTTTCTATATATGTTTGTAACCTATAACATGTCTAGGAGTCATTAGTTAAGGATTGAGAATGATTTGGCATGAAATTGAATGAATTAAGATGAAGAATAATCGGATAAAAAAAATTGTCCAGACGACACAATAGACCTATCGTTGTCAGACGATAGCGCTATCGCGTCGAAGATCGACCTATCATACTTGAAAGATTGACCCATCTTCAATTGACGATGACGCGATCGTGACGAACACCCGAAAAATGAAAAGACAACCGATGATCGAACGATCGTAAAAAACGATAGCGTGATCGTCGCAAGCCCACGATCGACCAATTGTCAAGGACGATGGCACGACCGTGACTGAAATCCGGACGACCCAAGGAACAACCCATAGAGGTCATGATCAAGCTATCACCAAGGGGGATAACGCGATTGATAATGTCAATTTTTGATGTTATTTTTCTATAGTTTTAGTTGCATTTCACTCCTCTTTTCGCACAAATTTAGGAATTAAATGACATTCTAGGCACGAAAATCGTTTTCTTTGCTCTTTGATGTGATTTCATGTATATTTGCGCATTTGGACAAAAATAGAGCTAAAATGGTGTATTAGGAGCTAAAATGAACCAGGTTGACAATCACGGACAATTACAGATATGGCATAGGCGAAACGAGTGCATTCCGAGTTGTTCAAGAGGAAAAACGTGAAGGTTTACAACAATCACACATTTCGGGTCCCATAACTTTCTCCACACAGGTCCAAATCATGCGTGTTATATATCATTGGAAAGCTCTCTTTGATAGCTACGCATAGACACTAAGGTCACTCAAATCAGACATTGGAGCACGAAGTTATGGACAAATACCCAGACCCTATCCCATGGTTGAAAACATAAAAGTAAAGAAAAACATCCGTACACGATGTTGCCTCCTCGACGTCGTCGTCGTCCAAGGTGTGCTATTCGTGTTGGTTTAGTGCTCTATGATGTACTGTTATGTGAGCTTTATTTAGAGACATTTGATGTATTGATACTTTCTATGGTGTTATGGATGAGTGTTTGATTCATTACGTATTGTGCATGCTTTAATATGTTATGAAAACCATGTATTGTTATGAACAATACTAAACTCCCTAGTCATATGTCATTATGGGAATAATGATATACTAAAACTAGTATGATGTGTGATTGATGATCATATAGATGATCATAGGTATTGGATACGATCACAATCATAGGTATTCGTTGAAGAACAGAATACTGGAATGACCCGCATGAGATTGTCACATGGACTAGCTGTTGGGTTTTCCTGGGATCTCATGAGCGAATCATATTCCTAAGAGATCGATTCTAGGGTTTGCGCAGCGGATATAAAACAAAAATTTTGAAGAAACCCTAGAACCATGCATGCATGCTTACGTAGAAACGTTAGAACGCTTACCTCAATCGATCTGGGGCATGTTTCAATTGATCCGTTCGTCCGATCACTCAAGGCAGGAAGCTTACCTCGCCCTCTACACGTATCCACACATCAGGATGGATTCCAACGATTGAAACTTGTTTGCTAGGACCCGAATCTGCTATTCGGTATATCGCTTCGAGAAAACGAGACTTAGAACTCCTTGAACTCTTTGGATCTCACCAAAAGCTCTCAAAGTTCTGCCAAAGACGGCTCAAAAAGTCTCAACTTAATTAGGGTTTTAATCTCTTTCTAATAAGGTGATTAAACCCTAACTTCGGTCTAATTTTCGAAAAACCCGAAAGCCGGAACGGACGGTCCAGAAATACATGTGGACCGCCCGTTCCAGCAAGCCAGAACGGACGGTCTGCCTTCTGTGGACCGTCGGGTCTGGACCTGGCGGACCGTCAGGTCTGGTCCTTTCGGTCCGTCCGTTCCAGCCCCTTCCGTCTTGGTTTTTCGTCGTTTTCTCGTGCGTTTTTTCCTTCCCTGCGTGTGTGACCCTGTAGACTCATTCGATATAGCAGTATAACCCGAAATCTCTATTTCGGATATACAAGTCATAGGCGGTCTCTAGCAAGACACTATGACTACCTATCTCGAATAGAGTTTGTTCGTGACCTTACGAACGCCAGTGATGATTCCGGCTGATGATCCTTTTGCATCGCGATATAATATGTCGAACATAAGGCATGGACGAGCCACCTTATCTTATTCGACTGCTTTCTCGTTCACTGAGTTCGACTGTCTGAAATAGACGACGTTCATCTATAGTGCGGCCACACATTTCCACAGTCTCGCTCACACGAGGGGCCCAGCGATATCTCTCTCTTTTACAAGAGGTGCAAATCCCGTCTTGACTATCTACAATCCAGTACATGATTCGTGTCCTACCTGATACACGCCTTTATAGTTTTCCTGTTACGCAGAACGTTTGACGTATTCAAAGCACACAACTCCTCATGTCGGATTCCGTAGATATCTCAGATCTTAGGTGTAACGACCCGAGGCCGCTACGGAATGATACAGTTGTCCCCACACACCAACACGGGACCTTTTTGCGTGTTTTGTCCTCACTCGCACACATCCCGGAAAGTACTTCCCAGGAGGTCACCCATCCTAAGACTACTCCAGAGTCAACACGCTTAACTTTGGAGTTCTCTCGAGATGGGCAACCGAAAAGGTAGATGCATCTTGTTGATATGAGTAGCTCAATTAATTCCTTTAAGTTATCTTAGACTGTGTAGTCCCATACCTACACAGCCCTCGGATCCCTCTCATTCCGGTGCGTCCGCTTCATCCCTGTACCCCCTACCCAGAAGCTCGTCAGGAGCCGCCCATTGTCCATGCCTCTCGCACCGGCGATCACTCC